TCCCTTCCTCTCGTGCTCTAAGCGTTCCCAGTCGTCATCGAGCTGTGAGCCATGAAGGTGTTTTTATCAATTAAAATAATCATTTATTTGAGTTGCATGAGCTGGGGGTACGCTGGGTCCTTGGAAACGGGTCTGGGTCTGGGGCTGGGTCTGCCGTGGGGTCTGGTATGGGTTATGGGCCGTGTGCTGCTAATTAGCTCAGGTTTTTGCATTGCTTCCGTTGGGAGAATTAGTCTTGCGAATGAGAACCTAACATCAAGAGAACTCCACAGCTCTTATTCAATTAATATATATTATTTCTAGCTTATTGTGATGGGAATATATGGATAATCTATATGGACTTTGATATCTTTGTGAATCATATAGCTATCCTAAAAATGTTCACACGAATTTTCACTTAAAGAAACCAGAGATAACTTTTTTGCCTTGTCCTCGAGCTGCATAAAATTAGATGCTTCTGAAACAAAGGATACAAAAGTTGTACCTCTTGGAAGCGGGAGGAACATCTAAGTCGGCTTCTCTTCGTGACCACAATCTTTTAAACTCTTTAAATGCTCGTCTAATACGTAGCTCAACTCATGCTCTAAGTATTTACTTCATGCGGCTGCCGATACTGCGGCTTACGAGCAGGCAGAGTCTGGCTGAGAGAAGGGTAAAAAACACGCACGCTTTTTACCACAAATCTCTCAAGTTTTTTATGTTTTTTCCTTTTTGTTTTTTTTTTTGCCGCTGCGGCGACTCGTCTAACTGATGATGATTAAATGCGAACGCCTTGGGTTATAGACATGGCATCAGTCGTGTCATTTAAAAGAAGGTAGCTGCATGGACCCCCCCCCCCCCCACCCCCTTCGCAGCAGCTGGGGCTGCCCGCGGCCGCCATGGATCTACCCCCCTCGTGCTATGAATCGGATTCGCGCGCATTAATGGCCGCCGCACAAAAAGAGCTTATGATGTAATGACCTCCAGCAAAAGAGATCTAAAACAAAAAAAAAAGAAAAAAAGAAGCATTGAACGAGCGAGCATTGAGCAAGACAAATGCTGAAGAGGTTATTAAAAAATAGTTAAGCATGTTGAAACGAGTCCGGCCGAGACGCCCCCGTTTGTGTGTGTGCAATGTGCTGCGAGCGAGCAGCTCGGGTGTTCTTCAGGTGATTTTCAACTTCCCAGCCATTTTCATTTCCATTGCCATTTCCGCTGACCCTCTCGAGGGTGTAGCTGGCGACATTTCCAAGCGCCAGCTCAGACAGCGGACCCACCCAAAGCTCTCACGCTAGCTGACCATTTGCGGGCGGAGCGCGGGCTCAAAGGAGGGCAATTGACAATCATATTAGCTGGTATTATATTTGACATATTTTGTGGCGGCATTTTCATGCTTTGCTTTCGTTTTCGGTTTTTTGTGCTTTGTTTTTTGTTTTTCTGCTGGTTTTTTGTCATTACCAAAATTATAATTATAGTAAGTGTCATTAGGCGCTGAACTCATTTTTGGGGCGCAGTAATTATTCCAAATTATTTTACAGTTACTCGACCAAGCGGCTCCACTCCACTCAGTGGCAGCGGCTGCGGCGGCGGCGGCGGCGACGGCTACCGTCGAGTGCTTTGCACTGACTCCGCCTCATGATACCCACAGACCTGTTGGTAATTAGTTAAACTCCCCCCAGGTATAGGCCTGCCCCTGGCCCTCTTTCCAGCCCCATAACTGAAACTGCGCCGTCCGTGTGTCCGTTTGAAATCTCTCCAGCTTTAATCCAAAAGAGATGCCGCAGCGCAGCCCATACCCCTTCGCTGTCCCCTATCGGTGCCTCATGCGGCCCGGCCTGGGTCTGTTGGGTTTTTGACAAGTACAAATATCTGAATTCGGTAAGGTCTTCTTTTAATCAGCCTCGGTCTACGCTGCGTGCGTCTCGCATCATGTGGTATTCAGGCACTGCGCAGGGCCTGAGATTGCGTTTGGGTCTAGAACAAAGCCCGCAGATACGGCCGCAGCTACAGATAAATTTACAGACACAGATGCAGATACAAATGTTGATATGTGGCTGCGTTTCAGATCACTTTTGAAGTTGTTGTTGTTGGTGTTTGCATTCTAGTAGTTGTTGTTGTTGTTGGCATTTGTATTATTGTGCACTATGCGTTGATTTTAATTGTGAACTTTTCTCTTTTCCTTTTCTATTTCTTTTGATCATCTTGGAACCAACAGAGCGCAAACGTGGCCGCCAGACCTATACACGCTACCAGACGCTGGAGCTGGAGAAGGAATTCCATTTCAATCGCTACTTGACGCGCCGGCGACGCATCGAAATCGCGCACGCGCTCTGCCTGACCGAGCGTCAGATCAAGATCTGGTTCCAGAATCGACGCATGAAGTGGAAGAAGGAGAACAAGACGAAGGGCGAGCCCGGCTCCGGCGGCGAGGGCGATGAGATAACACCACCCAACAGTCCCCAGTAGGAGGAGCAGTGGCCAGAGCGGGAGAGTTATGATTATGGTTATGGGGGGAGTAGTCCAAGTCCAAGTCCAAGTCCAAGGCCAAGTAGCGAAGCCAGCGCAAAACTAAATGAAATTTCAAGCTAAATACAATTTACAATTTATGAAAAATTTGTTTTGAACTATCCAAGAGGACTAACTATCTACTGCGTTGCAAAAGTACATAAAAAGAAAGTACACTACACAACACTACACTACACTATACTACAACTTAGTTAATTGTTATTATTTTCTTATTATTATTTAATTTTTACAAAATGCAAATGGAGAAAGCGTAATAAGTTAAATAAAAATACAATTAAAGCGTAAAACTCAACAAAACCAACTCATGTGACCTCAGAATTAAATAAGCTATATATATAGTATATATATATACAAAAATATATAAATATATTAAACTAATGCATAACAACTATAATAGTAATAATAACAATAACATAATAATAACTAAAAACTATATATGAAACATATATACGAGTAAATACTATATACACAATAACATTAGTTCTACGCGTCCTAACTGTAAAGCATACTTTATAAATAATACATATATACGATTAATTTATATAGTGTAATACTGTATACACCACATAAACCTATACATACTAAAAACAACTAAACTAAATTGAATGTTTGTAGGAATTTTAGCGCAAAATAAACTCACAAGAGCAACAACAACAAACCCAATCGCTAAACTGCAATGCAATATGCCGAATAGTGTGTTTTTTGTTGATAGAGCCGAAAGATACGACCACTATATAGAATGCAAACAGAGAACAGCGAACAGAGAACAGAGAACAAAGAGAACATGCAAGCAGTTAAGAGCAGACTAGAAACCTAAACCTAAACTAACAATAAGTGCTAAATGTCGCAGGACTAGACAAAGAGATACCAAAATACCGTGGAGCATGTTGCTAAATCTAAACAAATAATACAAATATAGGATAAACCAAAAGTAAATCGAACAACATTGGCAAAGTTAAAGAAAAAATAACTAAAGCTCGAGAAATGTTTCGGCTAGCCGAATTTACACGGTCTTTCCTGGCTAAAAGATATTTTGATATACATTTGTTATGTTGAAAGATTGTGAAAATAACTTCTCGCTGTTTTGTTCAAATACGTGTATAATTTCGTGTGCAATTTTTATTTGTTTATATAGACATTATTTTTTCAATTGAAATTTTGTAATTTTAAAAAGGAAATTTTAAATTACGAAAATTGCAAGCACTTGAATTAGGTCGTAAAGGATATAAAGTATACCGACAAACCAATTGGCAACATTATACGAAAGATAGAAACAAAACAAAAAAATTATATATTGTTAAAGAAATGTACACGTTGTTTTCAAAATACTTAAGTGTAAACAAAACAATTGAAATAATCCATGTAAAGTAGAAAAATATAAAAAAAAAAAAAATAAAAGAAAAAATAAATTCACATATGCATATATTCAAAATGCATTTCTGAATGCAGGCGGCGCTGGGGCCGCCTACTATTATACCTATAACAACTATATTGAATGTATGTACGTAACTCAACTCAATTTCTCAATTTTCTCAAACACAAACACACACGAGCATGCTGAAAGACGAGAAATGTAGAAATCCATATACCAAAGTTATAAAGAAAATGTAAAACTAAATGATAAAAAAAAAAAATACAAATACTATGTTTATATGTAGATATATATATGTATTTAAACCAACGTAATATTATGCGTGTAACTTGTAGACGACGTTTCGTTTTGTAAATTCCCCCCTCCCCCCTGAATTCAACTGTAGCAAGGCAATAGCAAAAGATACGTAAGATCCCAAATACTACTACGAAATACTACCCAATAGAGACAACATTTGTGATTCCATTAGAAAGCGAAGAGGGAAATGTAGGGCAGACCAACAGCCAAGTGTGGTATTCATAAAGATTGCACCATAGATTGGCGACCGAAAATATAACTCAATCCAGATACGTAACTTTCGGCCTCATTCTGTAAGAAACTAAACAATTAAGTTTCACGAAATAAAATAAAAACACAACAAAAACAAATGAAACAAAATTTATTGTAGAAATTCACAAGAAACAAAATTCATATACGTATACATATACATATATATTCAAATAAAAAAAATATATATGTATGTACTTAGAAGAGAAAAACGCACTCACGTACATTTCACGGCGAAAATTGAATGCATATTGAAATGAATTGTGGAAAAATGCTAAATAATTTGTTGTAAATAAACCCTAAAATTAGTGTAAACAAGATGAGAAAGATGAGAGAAGAGCTGCAAAATGCAAATGCTAAAAACAGAAAATTAAAAAAAAAAAAACAAACAGAAACAGAAACCAGCAGAAAATGCATAAAATTATAATTAAATTACAAATGAGATTTTGTTTTTATTTGTAATATTTATAATAAAATATAGTATTTAAAAATTTAAGCAACGCTTGTATTTGTTTAATATGTTGGGGAGCCTATACGATTATTTTTTGCTTTATCTTTATATTTATATACATCTATATTTTATAGATGGAACAGACTCTGATGTTTATCGCTTTTCGTATAAGGTGCGTATTTAAATAAAAATGACTAAAGTTAACTTGAATTAATATTGCAGATTTGCATTCCAACTGACTGCTCAGAATGTGACCACTCTATTTTATTTAATCTGGTGCGTATTTATATAGATACTTGATAAAACCAATTACTTAATTTGAATCTATTTTGCAGCTGTCTATTCCAACACCTTTTTTAGAGGCCGTTTGTGCTGAAGAGAATTCCGTGTCAGAGGTAAGCAAAAGTTGTTGCTTGTCGGATTCATGTGAATAACATGCTTGTCTTTTTTGGCCGCTTTGCAGAGACCACAAAACGCGCCATTTGGAAAACGATCTTATTAATCTGACATCATAATAAGCCATTAATCAAGTGGCATTAACAAAACACTGACCAATGGCCACCTGAAACTGAGGCCAGACCCAGACACGACTCTCGGATCAACATTCGCCAGCAGCGATTGCGAATGCCACTGCGACTGCGACTGCGACTGCGTCTGGAGCACATGAGACCATTGCCAACATGCTTGGAGTTGGAGCTGAAGCTGGAGCTGGAGCTGGAGGCGGAGGCGTACTCGATCTCTGGCAGCAGCTTAAACAAATTGAATTCGCATTGTTCACATAATCGCTGGCCATTTGTAAACGGTGTACAGAATGTGCTCACGTTTATGTCACAAAATCAAATTAATAATTTGTGCGGCATTTTTCTCTGAATTGAGACGGCAAACAAAATATTCTCAACAAAGCTGAACGTCTGGCACTTGCAGCAGGCGCGAGAAAAGGCCTCGAGCACATAAATCGTTTTTCCGCAAATGCTTGGAAATGTCAACATTTGATTGCACCACTCGCCCCACTTGCCCCACTTGCCCCACTCCCTCTGCCCGAACACCAGCCTGCTGGCTGGTTGCGCCTCAATGGCTGCTTGAAGTTAATTTCACATGTATCCCAACATGATGGCGCTGCACGTATTCCGAACTATTTAGAGATCCACTCGAAATAGTTCTTGAACAGCTGCCAATTTCTATCCGACCTCCACCAGTTCGGCAGCCAACGCGGATGCGTTCCCTACATTCATTCCCTTTTCATTGGGCGGGTGCAAGATTTTCTGCAAGAGCGCATCAAATTTGAGTTCTTATTTGTTTTTCGGTCTGTTGAAATTAATTAAAAACGTTCTTGTTTGCCCAAATTAAGCACCTCAAATAGAATTTTAATTGAATTCGTTACCTAGGCCAAGCAAATTTCATCTTTTGGGTGTGATGTTCAGTTTTTATGCTATATTACTCAGATATATATAAGCATCTAAAAGATAATATTTATCTAATTTCACTAATTGACTGCAAATCGTCCAAAATATTAACATGATGTGACCTCATCTCAAGCAAAATAAGCTATTAAATCATTAGAAGCAACTATTTTACACTAAACGAAATAATAATTTAAGAGTTTCGACTAACATAAGTTTTGTATAAATTTTTACGTTACACGAGAATATATTTCCAACTAGCTTCAACGGCCTATTATAAATATATCTTATGTACAAAAATTGTACAAATTGACTTATTAGGTATCTTATAACTCAATTCAACATTTTTTTGTTTTCTATGTCGCTTGAAGAGTTTTATTTTTTATATTCCAACCCAGACTCATCAGAAAACCTATGTCGTACTTTAACAATATCTCTGAAAAGTTATGTGAAAAAACAAAATAAAAATGCATGTTAATTTAGATTTATATATTGAAGCTACAAAGGCTATCCAACTCTATATATATACATTAAAAGAATGTATAGTATAGTATAGTTGATGTTAAGCAACTATCCAGCACAATATTATTGCAATATTATCAAAAATAAGAAATCTATTCCATACTTTTATAATGTAGAATTATTATTTTGATTTATTTATTTACATTTATTAATATTCTTAACTCCGAAATTTTTGCAAGTTTTAAGTTATTGAACACATTGAGTTAATATTATTGAGGTAATATTATATAGAATTATCAGTTTTTTAATTGTGGCATTTGTTGAAGAATCCCTTAAAATATTCATATTATTGCGAGTATATATTTCTTTCAGTTATTTAATTAATTTAAAATCTTTTTATTTTCTTAATGATATTATGATTATAAATATTCCGTAGAAATATTTAAAATAAAATAAAATGTAACAGAAATTAACATGAGAGGTTCAACAAATCCATATACCATTATATCAATATGCTTAAGAAAGAAATAATGAATATTTAAAAGACCGTCGTCATATGGTATAAAACAATTGGAGAAAAGTCGGGCGAGCTATACGACAGTTGCAGCTCCTTAAAATGAATATTCAAGAAATAATCCTCAAAGGAAGGATATAAGCATACGTATAAATGTAATATACGAAAGTTCGCCGCCATTATTGATGGACCAGACCCTCTCTTAGGGTCGCACATATTGGAGTTCTACGCCAGTTGGAGACTGACACACGGAAAGAATCATTAATAATGAGTTCTATGGAATTGAGACAACACTCGGCGAAACTTGAATAGATCATTAATTACGTACAAATTGAAATAGGCAGAAACATGAACGCCATAACGAAGAACAAAACAAGATGTCAGAAATCCACTCGAGGTACTCGTAATGATGAGGCCTAGACAAGTGCACGCTCATCTCGATGCCTCACTTCCCTCTGTCGCTGCCGGTTCACACAATCCATCAATCGATCGACGATCCATCAAGGTGATATTGAGGCTGGTTACCCGCTGGCCCCCTGGCGCAGCAAAGGCAAATGATAAATTTAAAATGGCCAAGACATAAATCATTGAATACGATAATTAGCAGATGCAGACGAAAAACAAAAAACCAAAAAATACATAAAAACACCGAAAATCAACTTAAATTGAGTTGTACAATCTATTAGAGAGAGCGATAGAAGCCAAGGAATACGTAGGGTATTCGCCAATGCCAATCGACATTCGACTGACCCGGCAGAATGTGAAACGGCAATCGCTGGAAAATTGCACTAGTCGTGGCGAGTATCCATATCCTTGATGGCAATCACACAAATGAGCCTCTAATAGAATATTAACTCCCGAAAAGCATCGATGGCAGCCGCAGCCACGACGGCAGCAGGTAAACCTCAGCTTGAGTTGGGCCAGAACCAGTTCTGGGACGGCGGCAGCCTCTTCGAATACCCGTACAGAAGATGTGAGAGCATGCTCGAAATCCGGTTTGAGCCGCACTTCGAAAACCCACACACACCTAAGCCAATCGATATCGAAATTCGAAGATCTCGCCGGCACTAATACCAATGCATTTGCTACCAATACACTCTCAACTTCCGAAAGAGCGAGCGCCCGCAGCGCTCGACCAGCAACCATCGTAAGTTTCGAAATTCAGTTAGTTTTCGAACACAGGCCGCTGCAGACCATGGCCAGAAATTCCGTAGCACAGCGCACGCGCAATGCGTCCACTCACAAGGGAGATGAAACACTTAACGCATTCGCTTTTACTGTCTTCTCGCTCGCACCCGCATGCGCACTTGATGGCGCCGCTGACTCCGCCCACCATTTTCGAAATACTTGAATGATTTTCAATATGGCCGCCGTAGCTGGCCCTATTGTTGTTGTTGCTGTTGCTGCTGTTCGCTTGACTGCCAGATGCGCCATGCCGAGCCACCGGCAACGGGACCCTACACATATTACGTGTACAATATCATGCCGGCGGTGGTTCCAATAAATATTTGTGCTTAATTTTAAATAATGGAAATATTGGAAAAATGGTTTAAGTTTAAGTTTCAATTTGAATTTATATTTATTTTCATTTTATTAAGCGGAATATTTTAATATATTAAAACAAATTAATTTAATTTAATTTATTTAAACTAAAGAACTACTAAGTACATAAATATGTTGAAATACAGTTGTATGTATCAGTTAATGGTTTGGCGACCTTTTTAATACCTCGTTGCAAATTAACTTTGTAAAAAGACAAGATTGTTGTTGAGTAGAAAAAAATAAAATAAAAATAATATTTGGGAAAATTTTAAATCGGTGCTTACACGTTTATATCAACTCAAAATACAAGAGTCGTGAATGGAGCGTGCTTCCATGGTATAAATGAGTTGTAGTATACAAGAAACTTTGAACTTGCTACTATATTGCTACTATTTATATGTTTTTGTAGTTAAGGATTTTAAAAAAGATCTATACTTTCTGTTAGAAATATATATTGTATAGTTATATATTAAAGTTTTTTTAAGAGGGATTTCTATATAATCCTAACTTACAACATCTTTACTTTATTCATTGACCAGTAATTCAAATTCCCTATTTTCTGATGCTAATGGTAATAATTATCCAAGTCATTTATTTTTATATGTTGTCCATAAATCATACTAATTCAATTACCGTCCAAAAGTCAAAGAGTTGTCAAAAATCATTTAGTTACTAAACATCTTAAGCTTCTGAGGTGTTATTGCCAGCCATCGAAATTAAGTAATTTGAAGACAAGCGGAAAAATATTGTCACAACATTTCAGTAATTACCCGTAATGCCTAGAGAACACGACGACAACTGCTCGGGGCCGCTAATGATCGAATCATTTCGGATAATGTGCCCAAGCAGCGAGAGGAGCAAGAGTAGCAGTAGCAGCAGCAGTGGCAGTAGCAGTAGCTGTAACTGTAGCAGTAAGTGTGACCATAAGCAGACCCAAAGAAAACCAAAAGACCAAAACTCGAGGCAAAAGTCAAACTGAAAATTGAGCTGCAGATGTAAGTAAATCAAATAAAATCACGTGTCATTTGTCTCGGCGGTTCATTGAAAGATAAGATTCCGGCAGCAGCAGCGGCAACTGCAGCCGCTCTGATATGAGTGCGACGAGTGTTGGCCATGACTTTGGGGCAGGTTAGTTAGCTCGGGACACATGAGTCTGAGACAGGGCTAAAAATGGGCTGCGTGGCAATCAATCACCAACGCTTTACTAAATTTAATATGCGGTTAAAAGTGCTAATGACGCTGGTCTGGCAATCGTTTAAGCCTGCCCCTGCGTCCTCGTCGTCGTCCTGGTCAGGACCAGCTCTCTCCGCCCACACAGCGACCGACAGAAACCAACAGGCCGACAGACGAAGCAGTACATAAAGTTTAATGAGAAACCACTTAACACTTTCAGAGCTTTTTACGTTTTGCTGTCATTAGAATGATTTTTGCCACTAACTACGATGCTCGACTGTCGCTCCTCCCAGCCCTCGACCGGCATCAGCCTCTACTCGCTGCCCCTGCGGCCTTTAGCCAGTGCACACATTTCCTTCCGAGTCGTCGTAGTCGTTCAGGCCGCTGCCGTTGTCGTCATTATCCGGCCATGTTCGCAATATTGCACTCTCTGCCCCGCCCACAAGCCGGCAACCTGGCACTGCCACCGCCCGCATGCGGCATGCGGCACGAGAGCCTCGCTTTCAGCTCGAGGGCAGCGCAGCGCAGCGCAGCGCAGTGTTCCGCATTGGCGAAGGCGTCAAACTCAAAGGAGAGCGAGCGCGTGTATTTCCAAAACAAATCGGCAACAATTTCATTAAATGAGTATCATATTAAATTTAATGATGCAGCCGTATTTCAGTTTTCGTTTCGGTTTTTTGTGCAGACCGAACAGTTTTTGTTCTAGCCCCTCCAAGACTGGCAGCGGGTGGGGGTAGCGGGATCGGTCCGGGAGCAGTCAACAGTAGCTGGCAGCAAATCTTCAACTCAACTGGGCAGGAGTCAGAACTTGAGCCTGCGCCCGTACCCGTGCCAGTGTCCGTGCCCGTGCCCTAAGCACTAAAATTGAAGTGTGATGCACACTTGTCAGTTTGGAATTTCTATTCGAAAAGTTATCCATATTCCACTTTTCCTGCTCCCTGGCCCAGGCCCTGGCCTGGCTCGTGTTGTGGAGTGTGCATGATGAAGAGGTCGTTGCAGAAGCAGCGTCGAGTGACTGATTGACAGCGAAGCGTTCAGCGATTATGGATTGTAATACATCTTAAAAGTTGTATCCCCAACTGATGTTTATCTTTCGAGCGAGTGTTGCCCTATATTGACTTTTAATTATCGCCTGTCAGGCAATACATCAATTTACTGCTCAAAATAAACACATTAGCAATTGAGATTAGTAATTGGAAAGCGAAACATTGGGCTCATATTAGCTGAAGAGACATATCTATGCATAAATAAAGCTGTGGGTCCTCACTGACTGATTTCTGATCAATCAATGCACAGTCAACCCGTTCGAGCCAGGAAGCTGACTTATTTTTATTATGCTTGCGATCCGAATTCTACACACTAAATATTTTATATATGTATATATATGTGTATGTAAGTATATATGTACGAGTGTATGTTCTTTTATATCAAACGCAGTTCAAGTTAACTCAGTTAACTACCTGATGCATTGCAGAAAAAGGTAACTTTAAATATTGCCTTACTATGTGATT